CGAGACGTTCTGCTTGTGTTGCTTTGACAGGATCTAATTTTTTTGTTCTCTGTTCTATTTTTTTAGCTTGTTCACTTAAATTTTTTTCATAGCGATAAGCAAGTCGAGTAGCAATTTCTTCTTGTTCTTCTTTTGTATTTTCTTGCTGATTTTTTTCCTGCGATTCTTTATTAGCTTCAGCAACACTTTTTTCTAATTCATCAAAATTTGTTTTAACTCTTTGAGCGCCCAATCCACCAGCTTTTTTTCCCAACTATAAAAAATATGATTAATAATATTATTTTAATTGAAAACGTGTTAGTATTTTAAGATTGTATTACAAAAGTAAAAACGAAAAAAGTCATTAAAATATATTCAACATAAGTAATAAATAAATAAAGAATCATTTGTATACATACACCACTTCGTTTATTTTGAATCTTTCTGATGCCTATAGTAGGTTTCCTTTCAGATACCAAATTTGAGGTAGAATCAGATAACTTAACAGTAGGGCCTAAAGAATTAGCAGCAGTTTCTAAGCTATCTTTTTGATTACTTTTGTCCTCATTGTCATTGTTTGATATGGAATTAGAAGCAGGAACTGAATTTCCCTCAGCATGCACTGAAGATTGATTATGATATACTTCAGTATTTTCATGTTCTTTAAAAAAATCAACTTCACCTTGCTCTTCACCTGTTGATGCTGGACCATCATCTAAATGCAGCTACAATAAAACACAATTTTATGAAAAGTAATTAATTATTTTAAAAATACTTTCAAATATAATTCTTTCTCCTTTTGTATGATACTGTGTTTTACGTAAGATACACACATATTAGACACATTAATCATATAATGGAAATAACCTCAAATAAATCTATTGGTGTAACAAATGAAATAGAACATACAATGATATATGAATAATTTTGGAAAAATAGTGCATATGCTTTTGTAACTATTAGTAATTGAATGTAAAAATAATCATGTATCAATCTCCACAATGCTATCTTTAAAAATAAATTTTTAAGCAAGTATTAGTAATTTGACGATGCTTTTGTAAAAGTAGTTTTACAGCTCACCATTGTCTTATTTTTTGTTGAAGGAAGAAAAACCTATAATTACCATATTTGTAGTTATAAAATATTTAATTAACTAAACTGTATGATCTTTATAGTAAATACACATATGAAAAGAACATAAATTTTACCTTTGTTCCATAACGTTTCATTGCTTGAGCAGATGCCTGTGCCAATTTTTCTCTATATTGCATAGCAGCACGTGAATTATATTTTTGCTGAGCATCAGTTGTTGTACAATTGTGTTGTGCAAAGTATTTTCTCTAAAAAATATAATAAAAATCTATTTCAAGCTATATTATTATCAAATAATTTTAAGTATTTAACAAAATGATAATAAACTTAATAATAATAAACTTAATAATAGTTGCTATCTTTAAGCTTTACTAACAGCATTTGCATTTCCACCTAGTTGCATGTTTCTCAATTGCAACCAAGTCCAATTTGTATCAAGTTGAGTAGATCGAACAAATGTCAAGTGAACACCTAATCCTCGATGAACTGCAGAACAGTCGATGCATAGGAAGACACCGTAAGTCACACTGGACCATGCTGGATTTTTGGCATTGCAATCGAAACATGTCTATAAAGAATCATAATACTATAGTAAACTATATATTATAGTAATGTTTAATTAATTATTCAATTATAAGTCATAAATTCAATTGATGATCTAATACGTGAGAGTTATATACAAATTTTTATATACAAATATTTTGAAATATAAATTAACATGCCTTGCAATGAGTGTCATGAAACGGAAGACTAGGGAAATTACAGGTTGGAATGAAAATATGATCTTAATGTTGAAATAATTGTCAGGTCAAATATTCTATGTTTTTATATAATTCAATCTTTTTTATATAATTCAAATGTCATATAGTAAATAAAGAAGCAAACCTTATTTGTTGGGATAGCTCGTAATCTTTTAAAAATTTCCTCAATATCACTTTTACTAGGTGCTGGATCTGCCATTTTTGACGTGTTGTCAATGGCCTCGCGAAGTATTCTGGGACGCGTGGCAATAGCAAATTATACGTAGAGGTCGCTTGCTTACAATTTGAAACAGTTAATTTAATACAAGGCTGTTATTTCAAATTCGAATAAATAACGAGTATATTAATTATTTTTAATATAAGAATATAACTTGATTATAAATTATTTTTAAATATCCTACATACAATATAAATTTGTTAAATGTCTTATGTTGAGCTTTCTTATGGATTTAATAATACATTACATTATATTGTTTAATATTAAATTATTATATATACAATTTTAGAAACATTATTGATATTAAGAATTTGTTACAAATTTCTTTTTACACGAAACAAAAATAAAATTTTAAATCATTACGTCATAATTTAAAAGCATATCAAGATCTTTTTTTATCACTTGATGTATCCGGTCGTTGTCCAGTATTCGGAGAGTCGCTTACATTTACTTCTTCTTCTTCTATTTCCAAGTTATTTAATCTGTAATCAATAATATGGTGTAACTGTAATATATTATAATTACAATATATAAATTATAATTTATAAAAATAACTTACTCATCTTGTTCAAGACTATATAACATTTGAAAGCCAGCATCAAGACTAGGAGGGAAGCCCATTTCAGGATCTAATAGTTGAAGAGTTGGCACTTCTCGATAAACATTCCCGAATTCATCAAGTTCCTCAAATTGTAATTTATTAGCTGCTTCATCTAGAACCATCCTACAAATTGGGCAAATATTTAAAAAACTGAAAGATTTCTTCTTCAGAAATATTGCAGCTACTCAATGCAGTTAAATACTTAGAACTATAAGCATTAAATTCAAGTTGCCTCTGTTTTTCCATCATTGCTTCAACCTTTCTTTTCATATTCTCTTCAAATTTCAACACATATTCTTGATAATAATCATAAAGCGCAGCTACTCCACCAATACCTGTTTCCACTAATACCCTTTCTAGTATATCCTACAAGAATAAAGAATATACAAATATTTTTTAAATTTCTTATTTTTATAAAAATTTGGTAATATTTAATTTGATAATATTTTATTTTACCGGAAAACCATGATCTTTTTGTTCATATGCTGCTTTCATCAAAAGTGTCATTCTTCTTAGAAAATGATCTGCAATATCTGTAAGTGTTTCTATAGCTATATTTGAAGACTTTTCAAATCCAATGTGCGCCAAAAGAGTAATGATTGCATGCTTCAATATAGACCGAGCTGCCTCTGGTGTGAGATAGTGTATTGTAGAAGCATCTTTAAATACATTTCTAAAATAAAAATCTTATTAATATTTGTACACATAAATTTACACATATATAAGTTATTAAGTACACATAAATTTACACATATATATTTATATAAGTTTGTACATATAAATTTTAATACCTTTCTTGTTGTACAGGTGAAAATTGAAGTGAATTTTGGGTTTCTTTTCTTTCTGGCAAATCATGTGCTTCAATTGTTGTCATATTTCCAAGTACCATTCCTTCTTCCTAATAATAATAAGAAAATAATTAATAAGAAAATATAAAACTCATAATTATTATAACTAATTATTTTACATTATTACCATCATCCTTAGTTGCTGATGAAGATTTATAGTATTTAATACATGAAGATTTCCCATAGGTAATCTGCAAATAAAAAAAGAAGAAGCTGCATTAATATCCTAAAAGTAAAATATAAATATATGCATCATACATACTCAATTTGTCTATCTACTTGAAAATCACAATCAAGGTTATTTGATTCCTCTATAACTTGTCTCCAAATATTTTCTATAATATCTGGAGTTATTACTTCTTGCTTTAAAGTCTCTCTTGCTGGCAATTCTCCCCATAAGGGACCAGTTCCGCTGTTTTTGGTAGATTTCATTGTAAAAATTATAATTTACATAAAATATATCAATTTTTACATTTATCCTTATTGTACACCTAAACAGAAATTTAATTAGTAATAAAATTATAAACAATTTTTTAGAATAATTTTTAATTTAAAAATACTTCTATTGAATAAATTTATTTAATAAATAGTATAAATAATATTAAAAAATTATACTTTTTTATATTAATCTTTAATTCGAAAGAAAAAAAAAGATACTTGATTAGATAAAAGATTACTATAGAAATTTCAATATTTCAATAACATATCATACTTAAAAATATAATAATACATTGTTTTCACTGTCAAAGGTATATACGTACTGTTTTCTATTCAAAATTTCGCGCACGAATTGATATATAGCGCAGAATCTGTTGAGAGACCATTATTGCATTTCGATTAAAACCTGTATTAAATCTGTATTCAGACTTTTTCTATTAACTATCTCAGGTTTGCTTTACACATTTACAAATTATTTAAAAATGGTATTTTTGATTGAAGAATTCTACGCGAATGAAAGTAAATTCCAATTAATTTTGTATCTCGTTTAAATTACACCAACTTGACATAGCTCGAGTAGCTAAATGTTAGGTTAGAATTGCAATATTTTCGAGCGCCATTATTTTATTTTGTTGCATCGATGCACAAGTGTTAATCGACACGACTTTCGATATATTCGACAATCGATAATATTTCAAGTATGTAATAATGGAATGAATAAACTATATTGCAAGAGAGATTTTATATTTTACAACTTATTAAATGAATAGCAAGTAAGTAAATATTTATTTTTCCATTTTGTATTAATCTAATATGTCAATTATTGTTAGCAATAATATAAAATCTGTATGAGAATTCTGCGTATAAAATTATCTATTTACTCTGATAATGAATAGTAAAAAATATCAAAAGAAAAAAAATCACGATTATTTGTTATTGAAAATTTATGATGTATCAAGTATCGTCTTTCCATTGTTTACAGTCTTCTACGCATGTATAACAGATCACGTGTTCGACATTTTTTAAATGATCAAATAGATCAGAAATTATTCAAATATTGGAAATGTTTAATACATTTTAAATGTACGTAATTATCTCTGAAAAGATAATTTAATGTAGATCGTTTAACATATATACACAATGGAAAGTGCGGCAGCCTCGATTCTAAAACGAGCGGTAGAAATGGATAATAATAAACAGTATACAATGGCTTTAGTGTTATATCAAGAAGGTGTACAAATACTTCTCGATTCTATGAAAGGTAATATTAACCGTTAATTTCTTTCAAATATAATAAAAAATTTAAGTGCATATCATATATAATTTTATATATTTTTACAAGCTTACACATTAATTAACAGATTATTAATGTAACATATAGAAACAAAAGACCCAGCAAGGCAAAAACATTTTGCTACCCGAGCATCACAATACCTAGACAGAGCAGAAAAGATAAAAGATTTGGTTGAAACCCAAAAAGCAAGTGGAACATACAGAGAATTAATCAAAATTGAAACAGGTAGTACAGGACATGGTTATACTACTGTTTTTGGAAGATTTTTAGATACAACAGTTACATATATTCACATTGAGGATCCTTATATAAGAGCGTTTCATCAGGTATTTAATTTCAATTTAGTTTGTACGTTATATATCAATATATCTTGAATTAACGTTATATTCTAGTGTCAAAATTTGGTAAGATTATGTGAACTGGCCGTGAGGAAATGTCATGCATTATCTAAAATATCTTTAATTACAACTGTTGATCCAGAAGATAAGAAGAATCAGATAGCAAGACTAGAAGAATTGAAACAAAGTCTATCATGTCACCTTATTTCTTTTGAATTTAACTTTTCTGATACCTTACATGATAGACAAATAATGTAAGAATATAGACTATATTTATTGAATTATTTTATTTTATTCTTATTGCAGTTTTATAAAATATAATATATAATATATGATATACAATTTCTTTTATTAGTTATATGTATATTTTTATTTCAGGCTTAGCAATGGTTGGATAATTAAAATCGGTCGCGGTTTGGACTACTTTAAAGCACCTAATGGAAAGTTCGTATTAGGTGCCTGTGATCTTGAACTGAGACCTTGTTCTGAGACAACTATAGACATATTTCACAAAAGTCAATTAAAGAATGAGCAGTAAAGTCTATACGATCAGTGCTAAAAACAGTAAAAATAAATTAAAAGATAATGATTTTATATATTTATTAAGTCAATTCAAATTATTGCAATATCATTTGCATAGAATTTGATTTTAACTTTAGAGTTACTATATAAGTTATTATAAGTATGTACCTGGTTACGTACATTAAAAAGAGATGTACTATTTTTATCAGTATTTTTTATAATTTGAACTATAATAAAAAAAAATATATATATATATAGTGTCATTATTTTACATTATTTTACAAATATATAAATATAAAATTTTTTTTCTTATGTAATATATATTCGACATATGTACACTTTAATATTTCATATTAATCTTAACTCAAAGTACTATAATCACTGGCCTTCGCGATGTCAATTTGTTTTGCAGCTCTTTTACATGCCCTTCTTAAGGACTTCGTGTATTTTAATAATCCAGCTTCGATTTGATCTTCGTCTTCGATTAAAAGATCTTCAGCCTTATAAGATGGAAGACAATCTGCGCCTCCGACAGCAACTACTTGCCTTGCAATCTCTGGATCTACGCATAGTCTTGTAAGCGCTGCAGCAGCAGTCATTTCTAAACGCCTATATGCGTCTTCTAAGCCAGGAGGTCGCATTCTAAGAAAGGAAACTAGCGCAATAGAGGCACGGATTTCCGCCAGTTGTATCCGAGCCTCAGGTATACGTGCTAGCTCACAAATAAGAGCTGCTACCTGTTCCATTAACCAAACATTTCTGCCAGCTGATTTTTTCACAGTTCTTAGCAATTTCTTAACCGTGTTGTTTTCCAATATAATAAATGCATATTTTCTGGATTTTGACAGGTTGTTAAACGCGGCTGCAGCTAGCAACGAAGTTTGACCACAGTTAGTATTTTCGACTAGATGATTTAAGGGTGGTATTAAATCCTTCGCAAAAGGTTCCAGATGAGGCAGACCCAAACCATTGACCCAGGGTGCGGTGATCTGCACAAGCAATGCCGTTGCTTCTGTTTTCTCTTTCTCAGATGTATTTTCTGCGGCTAATAAGTCTGTCAATATTTCTGGACCACCATCCTTGACAAATTGATTTATCGCCATGGCGGAACAACACACGCTCGCTAATGCACGTAAAGAGGCTGCGACAAAATCTGGCGAAGTTCTGCCAGCCGTGATTAAGGATGTCAAAAGCGCTCTGATACCTGAACATCTCGTAATGCTATTTCCTGCTCGAGGTCCTATCAAACCTAAAGCAGTTAAAGCCGCTAATGTTCCCCTAGCTAACATGATATCATCTTTTGGCGCTTCTTCCAATCCTCTGACTACCCTCTGTAAAATAATATTGATTTTTGATATGTATCATTATATATATTTTTTATTGTCAATTATTTCGCAGTATACATATACGTATATTATGCAATGAGAATTAAATCTTACTTCAATATAAAAATCCAAACGGGTATCTATAGCACTGTCAACGTAATTCTTCATATTTTCCAACTGTGCTAATATTGCTTTCAAGCTAGTTTGCTGAATTCTACGCGGAGGCGGTGCACCCAACTCCGAAAGCAGGGAGAAAGCGTCGTCCTCTATGGCACATAGAAGTTGCTGCTCCGATTTACCGCTTTCTAAATGCGACACTTTACTGCGAAAATATGATTTGTCATTATTATTAGTATCATTCGTAAGTTGCCAATGTTTTCTTTCCGACTCGAGATTTGTATTCAAAGTTTTAAACTAGAATTATCCTTGAACACACTTACTTAAAGATATATTGATAATGGCGATCAAATTGTTCAGCTCTGACAAATAGTTTATTTGCAGCAGCCGTAGCTAGAGTCGACAGATTTTTCAAATCATTCATTTCGTCTTCTTCGTTTAAAATTTTGCGATGTTTCCGTCGCGGCAGAGCTTTGCTTTGAAGAGTGCTACCACACTCGTTGTCGGTTTGCATTGCAAGATCGCTCAACCATGCTCTCACCGATGAGGATTGTCTGTAAGTTCTGGAATGTAGCAGAGACCTGTAGGATGGTTCTGTCTCTGAAAAGTTAGTCGCTATCGACGAGTTTGCGCTTCTTGGTGACGCCGCATCTTCCGGTGGTTCAGCCGCGTACAAGAAATCGCCAAGACACTCGTCTTCCAAGGAAACAGATAGCGGAATTTTCGACGCATCTACTTGATCGTCTTCCGTTCTGTAAAAGATTAATAAAATATCATCTTCAATGAAAGTTACAAATGTAATAAAAAATAGTTATTGATAACAATCCAGATCCAGAACTCCAAATCCAAAAAAAAATTTAATAACTAAGTCAAGTAGCTCGTATCATTTGTCTCGTCTTACTACATTAAGAGAAACTCAGAAACTGTTCAAATCAAACAGTATTAAGCTATTGTGATAGCTTTATATTATATAAATAGCAAATATATACAATTTGTCTTTTGTTTAACGTTTGACACCTGATTTCTAATTAATTTTTTTTAAAGTAATATAAATTCAAACTATATCTTTATAAAATATAAGATATAATTGATATAAATGTATCAAAATAAGTATTATTGTTTTATATTTGTCTCTTTAGAAATTTAAAGCATTTTCATCCTTTGAGAAAATATCGTATTTCTTATCTTAATAGTTATAATAGCGTAGAAAATTATATCCGATGGTCGTATACCATGAAATTTATGCAACACCGATTCATCTCACGAATTTATTTTATCTTATATCTTGAAAAGTCATTGATCTTCGTTCCCACAAAAGAATGATTCATCGAAAGAAGATCCAATTTCTGTCTAAGTATGTCGTTTACTGTGTTACGTAATGATTTCAGAATATGCGCTTACTTTTCATTAATGCTTTTAATATTGGTCAAATTCCACCGTGCTTACGAATTTATCATGTAATAACACAAACGATTGCGTTTATCTGTCATCTTTTTAAAAAAATTATTATAGCTACTTTTGTTTTCTTATATTTGTATTGTTTTCTTTTCCAAGAACTTTCAACTTGATAAATTCAACTTGTAATAGAATCTCATTTAAAAATTGTATTATTTCATTTTTTTTTAAAATCTTACAGATACTTGCTCTTTCTATTCCTCGACACATCATGCTTTCCTTAATTTTCAAACGTAATTTTCAATAAGCATGGTAAAAATAACAAAGAATCTTAGCTCCAAGATCACATTCATCACATTCATGCAAAAACATACTATGTCTCAAATGTATCCTTCTGTCAAAAGTAATCCTTCTTCCATATTACTCCAACAATCAAACAGCATTCTCACTTAACTCAAGAACATGAACGAACAGCATCAAAATTATAGATGGCCCAGATCGTCATCAGGAGAATGTACAGTACCTTAATCGTGCCATAACAAGACAACAGTCTTGACTACTGCTGTCGCGACATAGTTAAGCCCTAATCACTATCCGCATAACTAGGTGCACGGATTTCGTCGTGGAACAAACAGAGATCGGCGAAGGAACGGATATATTATAGCGCAAAAAGCTGACTAATCGGTCAGCTCCGGAACTAGAATCGTTCTCTCATGGACAACGATGACTAATCCCATTTCTTTGACTAAGCTGCACGCCATCACCTGCACACGATTCATACGGTAGATGGAATTCTTTGTACATTTGCTGTCGTCGCACCAGGACACACCGGGGCCGTGGTTGACTCAAACCACGTCGTTCTTTCATTTAGGTATTCCTCGTGTAGCACGTTGCATTGAATCACGTACTGGCGCGAGTACATCTACAGGGTGTCGAAAGAAACGTGTAGCTCTCCTAGATTTGAATCCATAATGATTCTATGATAGATCTGGCTAAAGCTCTTCAAGCTCTTCAGATGATTTTTTATACCATTCATGATGCTGAAATAGAATAGAAGTTGAACGATTCTAAAAATGAAGCAGATGTGAAGAATTACGTTGGTCATCGTGCAATTCCACGTGACTGGGTATATTTTAGAGGACGAATCTACGTTTTGTGAACTTGGCAAGAGAAAATGAAGATTTAAACGAGCTCTTCTTGGACAACATTAAGTCTAAAATACTTGAAGTAGTATAATTCTTTAGCCTATTCTTGCGTTGTGTGATTGCTTCTAGTTTCTAAGAATTAGAATTATTAATAGGTTCATCACATTATTTGCATCTTATACTGCTTATTGAAAGTGAAATTGTTAAACAAATGAAAATGGTTGCTGATATTTTGTAATGTTTCGATATATTTCTTGTTACGATCTTCATTCGATTTTTTTAAGCTCTAAAGAAAAGACATTCTATTAGATTCATAGATCAATTCAAGTGTTAATGTTATGTAAGAGTTGTTATGTAAAAAGAAATATGTAAATCGATCATTCTTTGCTCCCCGCTGTTAATGCGGACTCTATAAATTGTTCCAAACACTGGATTGAACTAGACACTAAGTTTAATTTGCGTGGTACATATATGTTCGAATGTATATTAATCGATGTTAATTGATGATATGTCGCGGTATTTTCCCACTCGTCCTATTTACGTTGTTCAGATCCCGTAACGATTCCATAAGGAATGTTGATTCAATGATTACAGAACACGTATCATATTGATTCTATCATCCACTTCCGTGAATATTAATCATGTAGTCATACAAATCATTAAATTTAATTTTTAAAAATTATATATTCTCGTGAACGTTTCAACACGTTATTTTTTAATAAAGAAAAGAAAGTTGAAAGTTTGATGTGATTATGACAGTAGAACTAAAAAGAAAATTATAAGTAAACAGTCTAATTACTAATAAAAAAATAAAATTATAAGTAAAAGTAAAAAATTATAAGTAAACAGTCTAATTACTAAAAATAATAAAAATGTGATAATTATTACACTCTACTATCACTATTACTACTATCACTATTATGTGATAATTATTACACATATTTCAATAGAATGTCAATAGAATAACATTTCTGTCTTCAATAATTCTTAATTTATTGTAAAACAAAAAATTAATTTCCCAATATCTATTCCTTTGTAGCATAAAATACCATTTTTTCCCGTCTTCGTTCGAGCATTCGTAAAAAGGTATCTTATCAAAATTACACAGAAATCTTGCTCGTTAGGTTTCGTGTCATAAATCAAACAACGAGCTAAGTCGTTTTCGTCACTATGCATCTTGTATAATGAGTATTTAATATTCCCGGCGATGAGTTACGCTACTTCCAATGCACCTATAGATTGACGACCGATCCACAATATGTGCATACACAAGCTCACAGCGTTCCGCCATTATGCAGGGGTAAATGGAAGTTTACGAAACAACCAAAAGAATAACATGGGAAGTGCCTTACGTGTTGCATTCCTATCGCTTGGCTCACTCAAGGGACATTTATCGTGACGATTCATGTTCTTAAAACATACATCCTTCATACCTTATCGATTCAAACAAGGCGCGGCTTGCTCTCCAAGAGATAATGCTCTTTGGCAAGGCCCCTTAATTTCATGGCTTAATTTATCGATATCAAACATACCAGACAAACACATATTCTGAGTTCTTGAAATAACTACAGTATAGAAAGCGATTGAAATTAGAAGATTAATATGTAACCATGTGTGTACTATACATTTTTTCCTTACTTTCTTCTTCATGATGATTAGAATCTGGTCGGATTAGAACTTTGAATTACTCCATTATGGAAAATAGATAACTACTTGAAAAATTTATACAATAGTTTTCATAAATATTTATCTATGTAGATATAAATATTAGTATTTATCACATACATATACATATACATAGAACAAGTGTTAATATATGTACAGATGTACAGAGAAATAACTTTTGTTAAATATTGGTAGTTAACATGAAAAGTTAATTATCAATTAATTATTACAATAATTTTTGTTAAATATTTATGAATGTTAATATGAATAGTTAATAAAACATTTTAAATAAATTTTCGTATGTAAGACATCAGATCAGTCCATTATATTGTATCCGATCTTAATCATAGGAATTACGTGATTCTTTTTACAAAGACTTTTTATTTTTAAATTACCTGCGTGTTCTTGACATTCCCTGTTCTTCATGCGCATTAAGGATCATCGTACTCCGAGGTAAAACTCTGGAGTCCTTGGGAGTAGAGGTGAACGTTGGGTTCGGAATACTCTCATCTTTCAACCGAACGACACCGATTCTCGAATTCATTCCATGTCGTCGATCCTTAACGCGCTTTCGTCTCCTTCGACGTCTAGGCGTTTCGTTCTCGTAAAGTTCGGAACAATTCGATCGTTCAGAATCGGAGAAACCGGAATCTAGACTTCGGAGATCTTGACTCAAAGGACTGCACGATCTGTTCGCCAGAACGATATTGTTCTCATTTCCTTTGTCTTCGTCCTTTATCTCCATTGTGGCCCTACAAAATTTCAAAAATCTTTGTGTTACAGTGATTAAAAATGCTAAATGTCAATGCAGCTTATTTTTCTATGCATTTTTTATTAAGCTAAATTATTAATTAAATTAAAAATTAACATTAGACCAATATCAATCTAAAAAATAATAAATGTAAAATCATACGTTAATGCAACATCATACAAATAATCGTACGTTAGAATTAACAAATTTGCAAAGATAAAAAAAGTATAAGAAGAAAGAATATGAAAAATATAAAGAAAATACAAGATCTATAGCAAATTAAAGCATAACACTTCAACGTGGATACATTGTTGAATTTATTAAGTACCATTATGTAGAATTAAAATCATCGTTCAGAATGCGAGACTAAAGGCATTGATGTCTCCCACGATTCAACGTTATAAAAATAATTCGTAAGACATCTCAACGCTTAAAAACTTATCATACGGTTGTGAAACTTAAGTAATTAAAGGTAACGGTATGAAAGTAGCATTGTGTGTCAACATGATAAGGAAGAACCGATAATAGTCAAGTCAAACGACACGCTCGAGCAAATCTACGGCGTCACAAATTTTGTCCTGATTTCACTTCATGAAATAATTCGAGAAATAATTTCACTTACGTCTGAGTCATTAGATTTTCCTCGTCTATCGTCGTCGTCGTAGAATATTGTCGTTCGTCGTTTTCATTTAGGCAGACGCGAATCGCCGTTACATTTTCACTGTCGATTGTGTCGCTGGTGTCGTTGATGCTGGACGAGTGCTCTTCCGCTTCTTCTTCGGCTATTTCAAAATTACGTGCTATATTTTGCTTGGCTTTGGTGAAATCATTCCTCGAGGCGAAAGCACCCAGACTTTCTAGATCCTGAGACGCCATGTAGTTCCAAAACACTTTGCTCTGATGTCTTTTAAACGCGCTCATCTTCTCTATTTCACTTTCCTTCTGCGCAACTTTCGCAACAATCCTAATCTCTTTTTATAAAGTATTCGGCGTACTTGTACTCGTTCAAGTAAAAATTGATGAAGATGCCTCAAGGAATACTCCCTAGGAGGTTCAAGTTTGGCGGTAACGACGAGGATGAGCAGTGGAACAACGCGATGCCACACTAGGGTGGTTTCACGACTCAGCAGAGCGAAACGACCCTCCTACAGGTCGCGTGCTCGGAGAACCGTATGGTGTCTATCGCAACCCCCATGGAGTATCCAATCGTTTTCCGCATTGGCACCGAAAACTATTCCTGTTTTTACACCTCTCCTTAAAAATTTGCTTCTTTTCTTCTTATATCTCCGGAACAATTTCTATGCAAACTGCACCATTTATTGCATGCACTAAAAACATGGAAATCTAAACTTTTAAGTGATAGAGAATTTAATTATAAATTTTAAAGAAGCATTACCAAACTGTTAAATAATTTGGTCTCGCACATTATTTTGCGCATTTATGTGTAATAATTTGCAACGATGCCGATGTTGTTTGAAATTTATGTGTCAAATCAATAATCCATTAGATGCACACATCGATCGATCGATCTAAACGTATTGGTTCTTCGCGAACGACTGACTCGTATCGGGTCGCTTCCGACTTCCTCCCATAAGTCGCGCTCCCTTCCCGCCTCGAGCTCGTAAGCCAACTCGCATGAAAATAGAGCTCCTCCCCTTCTTCTTTGTCGCCTCTAAGGGGTGCCAGTACCCCCATGTACCTCGGTATGCGTAACCCATGAGTAACCGCCAAAGCGTAACTAGGTTCTCCGTTCAAAGGATGCAGTGGTGTCAATAGGAAATGTCTATTCGATTGATTTTTGTCAATTAAACGTAGATGTTTCGATTTCAGCAGAAAACACAAGACACCTGTCAATTTTTAATAATTTAAAGATCCAGTTTAATATAATAAATAATAACAGCAACATTAAAACACTGGAAAGAAAAAAAGAATTACATGTTAGAAATAAAATGACATGTTTTTAGATATGATTA